CTGGCAGGCTTGCACCTGGCACGGGCACCGTAGCCAGCCCGTGCCCCTTTAAGGGCTTTGGGGCCGTGAGGGGGGCAATAGAGTTTCCCTGGTGGTGCCCAGAGCGGCCACCAGGGAAACCTGGGGAGGGCTAGCCTCCCACTAGTTCGAATTAAGGGGCTACACACCCCTTAATTCGAACTAGTAAGTTCGAACTAGGCTTAGTCCTCGTAGAATGAGGTTTACCTAGTTCGAACTAAGCGCTCCGCTAGTTCGAATTAAGTTCGAACTAGCGGAGCGCTAGTGTAGTGCCTATCAAAGTTAATTCAAACTAACATCCGTTAGTTCAAATTAACTTTTTAGTGTAGACATACCCAGCTCATAACAGTGATTATTTGTTTGGACTGGAGCTGATACACTGAGCAGTTGGTGCTGTTTTTTGTTCCGGTTTGTGTCAAATAGTGACTCAGGGAGATTGAATAGCTCAAAGCAAATAAATCAGTCAATCCTGTAAGAAGCAGAAGCAGCCACAGACTTTCCTACCTGATTCCATCTTGTGCACGTAACACGTGAGGAAGAAAACAATGAAATGAGGTAGGGAGGATCTCGCTCTGGAGCTGTGGCAGATGGAGAGAATTTTCATCACACCCTGAGACGATCCCGATGATGGGAGAGGAGAGAGAAAACAACAACAAAAAGTAGCAGGTTGAATGTAACATTCACAGTGATTTCAGACAACCTGGGCTCAGAGAACACAGACAGTTCTGAGCGGGATACATTCCTGGCCACGCAGAAGAAGGCCTGACATGCAACTTCAGTTCATTTCTCTGCTTCTGCGTGACACAGTCAGGGTATGTCTACACTAGCCCCCTAGTTTGAACTAGGGTGGCTAATGTAGGCATTCGAAGTTGCAAATCAAGCCCGGGATTTAAAAATCCTGGGCTTGATTTGCATCTTCCCATCTGGCCGCCATTTTAAAATCTCCTTAGTTCGAACGAACTGCCCACGGCTACACACGGCAGTTTAAAGTTAATCCGAACTAAGTCCTTAGTTTGGATTAACTGTCACACCTCATTCCACGAACTAGGGGGCTAGTGTAGACATATCCTCACTTTTTTTGCTGCATCCAATCAGCTGCAGCATTTCACAGAGTACTCTTCACACCAAGGGGCAGAACCCCCTTCGTTTTAGGAAAACCCATAAAACCGGACAGACGCGGGCACCTAGTGACTGGTGAGCAGAGCCATCCATTTTCATCCAGTCTGCATCTGATGCCTGCTACACATCCCTTCTACCAGGCCACCAGCCCACCTCACCTTCTCAACTCTGTATATTGTCCTTGTGGGGGCTAACATGTGGATACCCCAAATGGCTATTCTCCCAGACAAAAAGAAAAATAATAATTCACTGAAAAGCCCCTCAATAGCAGAGATAAAGTTGATGTGTGGACTTCAGTGTCAGGACAGGTGTGGCAGTTGGAACACTTGGCATATCTGTTCTGTAAATAAAGACGTTGACACCAACAATCGATCTGCTCTATACTGCCTATTTCCTCATGGAATCAATCATTGTGTGCTGCCCAGAGCGGGCCATGTGATGCCCAATATAAATGCCAACAAGGCCTAAATGAAGAGTGAAAAACTTCTCAAAGGAGAGTAAGGTGAGATGTGGAGTTTCCCAGAGAGGACGAGCAGATGACCGGGGACTGGAAGGTCTGATCTGATAACACAGTAACTGGTTAAAAACGTGTTATAAGGATTTTTCGACAAAAATGAGTTTTAGAAAAGCATTGCCATTCATTTTCTTATGAGTTGAATGTTTCTGTTTTTTCTTGATCATTTCAGTGAGAAAAGAGACATTTCTCATTGATTCAAAATGGGAATCCTAACCAAGTAAATTGAAAATATTTTATTAACTCCCTTTCTTATTCTTGCTAGGAACATCCTTCCCCTCCCAAAAATTGAAATAAATAGATTTTAGATTTATTTCCATAATATTTGATTAAAATAGAAAAGTCTATAAAATATTTAAAACAAAAATAATTTAAAATTTCTATTTTAGAACATGAATTCCATTTGTTGACTAGCTTGAGCCTGACAGATTTTCCCAGGTATCTCCCTTCCAATGGTTGCTCACACAGTAGGAGATACTTGTAGATCAGGGTATAAAATGCCTTTTTTTAAAATTACTTATATCCAACAGTACAACTGAACTGAGATCTGCTTTAGGCACGTGCTTGGCTCCCTCTTGTATCAATAGGGGAACAGGATGAATCTTCTGTTTGGACCTATTGTGGAAATAATTGTTTCTCCCCCCCCCCTTAAAAGTATCAGAAACAAAGGATTGGAACGTGAACAGGCAGAAGGGCAGCCTGACCGCAGCTGGGTGTGGCACCGTATGTCTCTGACAGTATTTTAAATATAGGAAGTTATTTTGTGACAAATTTTTCTCAGACACAACTGAGAACAGGATCAGGCCCAGTGGCCTAGAATGAAACACAACCTCCATGGGAGGGGTGGACGAATCAATGTTTGGCATGGGAAGGCAGGCCCCTTCCACCCAAGGACCTGCCTTTTCACACCACATGGCCACTGGCTCCAACCCTGCACCTTCCATTATCGCTACTGGCACTGTCCACAATGCTGGGCAGATGTGTGGCCCCATCACTCCCCAACACACGCACTGAGAGCACCAAGCAACCCCTGTCTTTCCATGATCCCTACAGCTCCAGCCCTGGGAACAGCTGGGCAGCCATGTTGCCCAAGAGCGGCTCCGATGGAGCAGCCAGGCAGCAGTGTGGCCCTCTGCCCTGGTCTTTTTCCGGGAGCAGCTGGGCAGCCATGTTGCCCCAGCACGGCTCTGATGGAATAGCCAGGCAGCAATGTGGCCTTCCCCCCTGGTATTTTGGGGAAGGTGACGCCTCCCCTTGCCTTTATCACCCAGTGCCCATGAAAGCCACAAGAGAAACAAACGATTAATTCCGCCTGAGGCCCAACTCTCGATTAACATGGCTAGGAAAACGATCTGAACCGCACCGGTGTATAAATCATTTTCAATGTACCCATAGTGTAGGGGTTACAGAAAGCGTAAAACAAATCTCATGGGATTATTGAACCTTTGGTTAGTAGCAATCTGGTGAAGCAACACACAGTGTAAGTGAGGGGACAGAAGGGGCTTTGTGAAGCAAAATTAACCCACCTGATTGATCCTTCTGAGAACTGTCCCAGTCTTCGGGGTGTGAATAAACTTCACTGGTTCTGCTGCAATAATTGACACTCCAAGTCATTATTTCAGTGCATCCCACTGCACAGCCAAGCCCCTGGCTACAGAACAGCTGCAGAGTTCTCTGATCTCATGGCTTTTCCTCGCCCTTTTAACACGACATTTCTATCCCTTCCAAAGGGATTTCTGTGCCTACCACCTGCAGCCCAGGCAGAAGGAAAGCAAAAGTGCAGTCCTACAGGCAGACAAAGGGACAGTTATCTCACTCGGTGTCATGGGAAGAGATTAGAGGCGTCTCTTAAAGACACAGCCACAGCCCTGCTGGGCTGAAGGCTTCAGGCCAGGCCCACAAGCTCTGGCCTTCATACCCAGTAATAATGGGGAAGAGATTTTTCTGCCGTCTGTTCTGTGGGGGACAAGGGGAGGCTTTGAGCGTGTCCTGGAGTCCCTGTGGCTGGCAGAGACCTACGTGGCCTGTTCTGCTTCGGGAGGCGTCTCTTAAAGACACAGCCACAGCCCTGCTGGGCTGAAGGCTTCAGGCCAGGCCCACAAGCTCTGGCCTTCATACCCAGTAATAATGGGGAAGAGATTTTTCTGCCGTCTGTTCTGTGGGGGACAAGGGGAGGCTTTGAGCGTGTCCTGGAGTCCCTGTGGCTGGCAGAGACCTACGTGGCCTGTTCTGCTTCGGATCCAGGTGGGGTGGGGTGGGAGGCTCCACGCTCCCAGCTGCTGTGGTAGGGAAGTCCCACAGGCAGCTCCCAGCCACCAGGAGTGGCAGGGGACCCCAGAGCCCTCACTCCCCATTTTGTTTGGTTGTTAGTGAAAGTCGCCGACAGGTCACCAGCTTCCCGGGGTTCCGTTCGCTTTTCTCACGGCCCGTGGCCTGTCTGCGACTGTCTCTCAAAATAAGTTGTGACAAAATCTGAGCCTTGATAATGAGACCCTTGGGTGTGTGAGCAGGGGAGTTGGCCTTGCTGAGATTAGTACTAGGATACTGGGTACAGGGACTTTGCGAGGTCAGACCTTTGCCGGTCAGTATTTTCAGCGCCATCCTTAGGATTTATGGTGCCCTATGTGAGATTATTAAACTGGTGCCCCTATGACTGACTTGCTCTTCACCTTTCCCCCTCCCCTTCCCCTTCCCAGAAACCCCAGTAGCCAATCCCTTCCCTCAGACTGTGTTGCAGGCAGTGCATTCGGCTTTCTAGGACCCAGCCCTGCTGTTACATGCTTTACTGATTCCTGTCAGAGGCATGCACAGCACATTTCATTAGGGGGTGCATCCAAATAATTTTTTAATGTACTCTTTGACCCCCCCATTAGTCACAACCCTGACCCCCATTAGCCAGGCCTCTGGAGGCAACACTCTCAGGGCAAGATGGACACATGACCAAAAGTAAAAGGTGTCC